ATGATGATATTTAACCAAGTATATTTTGTAGTTTATCATCTGGTGCAATATTTGGAATTTATGATTTTTTTTTCCTGATTTAAGCTGTTCGGAAGGGCTGGTCGAGAATTTCTTTATATTTATATTGTTACTATTGAAATACTTAGCAAAAAACTTCATCAACTTTTATATGTATGGTATTGAAACCGGACTAGGCTGGCTGGTCAGATCGAGTAGCGGCTGGTAAATTGGTCTGTTCTGCATACAGAACATTATCAACCAATTGTGAATTGATCGAACCAGCTCAAAACAGGATGTAACCGTTTGCTTTACCGGTTTCTAGTTTGATTTTTTTCCTCTAAAGCCTAATGTGATAGTTCTCATCATATCCTCATGGTCCATTATAATATTCTTTTGATGGAGTTAGTGGATATAAATTAGAGTAATGTTATTTTTATTTTTATACCGAATTATAAATATGCAAATATGCATGGTTGTATTTTTACATGCATGTTTTTTTTTCTCACTGCGTGAATGTCATGTATGTGTGTGTAATTAATAATTGCTCAACCAGAGGGTGACCACTGAACCAGTTCTTTGACTGATTCAACCATTGGTCCGGTTTTTAATACTATTATTATTTGTTAATTTTTTATTTTTTGGATCAATTTACTTCAGGTCAAGCGCGGTGATACACTCCGGCGCTTCAATGCTCCTGTTGTTAATGAAATGCTTGGTCTTAACATAAATGAACTGAAGGAGAAAATACTTCATCTTTTCCAAATTCCTTCTGATACTGAAATTACCCTTACGTATACTGATGAGGACGATGAAGAAGTGACACTAGCAGATGATGACGATCTGACAGATATTGTCAAGCAGAGGCTGGATCCATTGAGAATATCGGTGAAATTGATTGCTGAGAGGAATGGTATGCCTCCACAAAGCCCCCCCAGCACACAGTCTTCATTTCAGGAGAAGCATTTTAAGAGAGGGCCAGGGCTCTTGCATGAAGCTCCCATTAAACTGTTTGCTGACATGGTTTCTAGTGCTTCATCATCTGCGCCCCCTGTCCTTACTGAGCTTGCTGAAGCATTCTCAAGGATAGGCTCATCTTATCTAAACCAGCTCCTTGAAACTCAAAGTAAGAAAGAGACCGACTCACAGAGGCAAGCCACTGGAAATGCTAGTGGTGTGACTGAAAATAATCCATCGGTGGATAGAGTTCCATCAGGTATGGTGTTACACACCAGACCTGATCAAACAACATCTGCTGTAAATGAGGTCTTGGAACCTAGTGAACCAAGCGTAACAACAGAATCTGAAAGCGAGGCTCTTATTACTAAAAAAAGAATGTCTGTTAATCTTAATGAACCTTTGATTGGATCTGCAGCAAGAGATCCGGAACCTACTATGTTTGAGGCCAGTATTAGGAGCAGGGTTGATAGTAATAAATTTTGTGACAGCAGTCTTGTTGGAAAGGCTCTTGGCATTTCAAGCTCTAGTGTTCCCTCTGTTGTTGGAAACCATGTTGTTAATACTAGAGGTTCTACCGGATTTGGGCCTATCAATCCGAGTGCATCCTTTGGGTACTCAAGTGGTGGTCCTTCAAGGAAATGGCATCATTCTACTATTCTGGACTCAAATCCTCCACGCCTTGGTCCAGCAATTATGAATGCGTGTCCTTTCTCAGGTGTTCAAACTGTTGATAACCCAGTCTCACCGCCGCCAGTTCCCTTTTATACCCACCCAAAAGTAAGCCATGGCCACAGTGTTGGTATTGGCAAAATACTCCACAAGGGTGTTTGTTGCGATGGTTGTGGGGTCCACCCAATAACTGGCCCTAGATTCAAGTCTAAAGTGTGAGCTACTCTTGACTGCAACTATAGTTGAATTCATAAATTTGTCATCTACTCCCTCATTTTTATTAGATGCACTTGTCCTTTTTTCGTCTATCCCAAAATTGTGAACACCTTCCTAGTTAGAACTTCACTAACTTTTACTTTCCCACTTCATCATTCTATCATTTCACCTTTAACCTTTTGTGACCCCATACTACTATACTACCTTTTATTCCTTTTAGAAAGTTACAAATGTAAAACTACAATTATGTCCTCTATTTCATAAAAATCTTGTCGAATCCAACTGCATTTTGCATTTTGCATTTTGCATTTTGGGATGGAGAGAATATAATTTTTTAAATCAGATGCTTAATACATTCAGTTTCTTATATTTGTAATTGTAGAAAAGAGAACTATGACCTGTGTAGCATCTGCTTTTGTGATAAGGGGAGTAGTGAAGCCGATTATATCAGAATAGATCGCCCAGTAAACATCCAGAACCCTTGTGCAATGGGGGGATTAAGGGATCAGGTATGGATGTTTCTTTAAGCACGATTTATATATCTTTGGTTCTGTCATTTAGCCTTCTTTCATTTGAATATGCTCTTCAATCTTCAGCATGCAAGGATGCGCCCACCATACATGTATCGTGGAATTGGTCCAAAACCCAACCATCCAAAACTTTCCAGCCGTTTTGTACAGGATGTCAATATTCCAGATGGTACCATAATTCCACCTTCTACTCGTTTTACCAAAATTTGGAGGATGAGGAACAATGGTAATATTTGCTGGCCCAAAGGCTCCAAAGTTGTGTGGATCGATGGGGATATACTAAGTGATGTGATGTCTGTAGACTTGGAGGTGGGAATTTTTAGCTTCTTGATTTGCTTTCACTTGAGCACAGAGTTCTTGCATGACAAGTTATTGTGTATTCAACCTCTCGTGCTTGTTTATTTTATAGTAAAGTATTTATTTTTATTATTATTATTTTGTCCTGGTTGTCAGATAGCTGCAGCTGGCGTGTCTGTTGAACAAGAGCTTGATGTTGCAATTGATTTAATTGCTCCTAATGTGCCAGGCCGATATGTTTCGAACTGGATGATGGCCTCGCCTTTTGGCCAAACATTTGGCCAGCTTATTTGGGTGCAAATCGAGGTTAGATGAAAAACATCTTCCTAGTGTACAATTAGCATCTTTGCGTCTCAATAAATTTTGTTAGAAACCCAGATCAGAAAATTTAAGATAAAGTGATGGTTAATAAGACCTTGGGTTGAACTCACTAACATATTAGATTCAATCTTTTAACGTGGTTTGACCCAAGTACCTTATGGCCGAGTTGAAAGACGCTTACCCAATAATTAATTCTATTGAATCTCCTATAATGCAGGTTGTTGCTACTACAAATGAAGCCACTAGGAACCCCGCCCCTGAAAGTCTACGTGGATTGAATTTGAATCTGCCGCCCTCAAGCAGTAGCGTAGTAAATGCTGAAATGGTTGAGTTGAACACTGAATCAGTTGTTGGAGATAACAGCCATCCAAAGCCTATACTCTCGTACAAATCTGTGGAGTTGGTTGAACCTTCTCTTGAGGGGACAAGTTCAATGAAGGGGCAGGAGGCAAACTTCTTCCCCATAAACGACAACTTGATTATTGGTGTAAACAGCAAACCACAACCTGCTACTACTCCAGCAACCGCCTCTTCGGTTTCATACCCTGTTGTTGATCTCTCTGACGTTGCACCAGCTGTTGTGCCTCTAATAAATGTTGATAAAGAAAACAGTGAGGTGGAGACAGCCCTCCTAAAGGAACTTTATGACATGGGTTTTAAACAGACAGATCTGAACAAGGAGGTATTGCGAATGAATGATTATGATTTGGAGCAGTCTATTGATGATCTGTGCGGTGTTTCTGAGTGGGATCCCGTCCTTGAGGAGTTGGAGGAGATGGTAGGTTAATCTCTAATGGGTACAATATTGTTTTTTATATGTGCAAGTTGTACCTCAGCTAATTCTTTGGCTTATGAATGAATGAATGACCAGGGCTTTTGTGACAAGGGGGTTAACAAGAAACTCCTCAAGAAGAACGGTGGAAGCATAAAGCGGGTCGTCATGGATCTTATTGCCCGTGAGGAGTAGTTAATACAGATTTCGTGATATATATTGAGTAATTCAGCAGGTGGTGGTGTGTCTTAGATCTTGTAAGTTGTAATATGTCATGTTCGGCTCCTTTTGCTACCTTGAAGACTGAAGTGGATGTTAAGTGCTGTTCCCTTTAATAAGACCATTGCTGCTTTAGTTGCTCGTGTATCGTTGGTGGGGGCTTGTTTTGCCACCTTTAAGCAGATGTATAGTTCATTTCAATAATAATGACTCTTTTTGCTGCCATCGTGTATTTGGGTCCGTTTGTTACATGCAAAATGTTTTTTTTTGAAGAGCAAAATGATTTTTTAAAAGCCTATAACGTTGGTGAAAATTAAAAAACAGCCTTTTTGAAACCCCTCAACTAGGGCTGGACTCGGGCCGGGCAGACCGAACCGGGCCCGACCCGGCCCGCTCACTGTAGCAACCGGCCTGACCCGGTCCACCGGGATTCAGGCGGTTCGGGCCTACCCGGCCCGGGTGCAGGGCGGTCCGGGCTCGGGCCTTTATTTTCTTGAACCGGCCCGGCCGGGCCTAACGGCTAATTTTTTAAAAAAAAAAAAAAAATCGTTTTCAATTATTTTTTGGCCTTGGTCTTTGTCAAACGGCTATTGTAGCCGTTGGGGCTGTTTGGGAGCCTCCAAACGGCTCTATAGCCGTTGGAGGGGGGTGGGGGGGTGGGGGGAGAAAAAAAAAATCTATTTATACTCCTATTTTCTATACATTTTTTACACCTTCTCTACTCTCTAATTCTCTATTCTCTCAATCTCTAAAATCTTCATTCATCTCCATCTTCATCTTCTATTCTTCTCCAATTTATCTCTACATATATATTATTTATATAAATATTATTATATCTACTTATATATTTATTATCTACTTATATATACATATATTACATTACTAATATTTATTATCTACTTAATATATATTTATTATCTTATAATTAGCTACTTTACATATATATATATATATATATATATATATATATATATATATATATATATTATATAACTTATATTCCTTATCTACTTAATCTCTACTTATTATTAATTTATTATATCTACTTATATATTTATTATCTACTTATATATACATATAGTACTTTACTAATATTTATTGTCTACTTAATAGTTAATATATACTTACTATCTTCTTAAAGTAGATAATTTGATATCTAATTATCTACTTTACATACATATATTATCTTCTTCCTATTCATCATCAACCAATCGGCCAATCCACCAAGGTACTCTTCTCTTCTTTTACACATTAATGGCGTTATATTCAAGTAGTTAATTTGTTGCATTATTCATTAAAGTGTACAAGTAGTAAATTTAGACATTTTAATTAAAGTATAAAACTAGTTAATTTGTTGCATTTGTCATTTAAGTGTACACCTAGTAAATTTAGACATTTTAATTAAAGTATAAAACTAGTTAAATTATTGCATTATTCATTAAAGTGTACAAGTAGTAAATTTAGACATTTTAATTAAAGTATAAAACTAGTTAATTTGTTGCATTTCTCATTAAAGTGTACACCTAGTAAATTTAGACATTTTAATTAAAGTATAAAACTAGTTAAGTTATTGCATTATTCATTAAAGTGTACAAGTAGTAAATTTAGACATTTTAATTAAAGTATAAAACTAGTTAATTTGTTGCATTTCTCATTAAAGTGTACACCTAGTAAATTTAGACATTTTAATTAAAGTATAAAACTAGTTAAGTTATTGCATTATTCATTAAAGTGTACAAGTAGTAAATTTAGACATTTTAATTAAAGTATAAAACTAGTTAATTTGTTGCATTTCTCATTAAAGTGTACACCTAGTAAATTTAGACATTTTAATTAAAGTATAAAACTAGTTAAGTTATTGCATTTCTCATTAAAGTGTACACCTAGTAAATTTAGACATTTTAATTAAAGTATAAAACTAGTTAATTTGTTGCATTTCTCATTAAAGTGTACACCTAGTAAATTTAGACATTTTAATTAAAGTATAAAACTAGTTAAGTTATTGCATTATTCATTAAAGTGTACAAGTAGTAAATTTAGACATTTTAATTAAAGTATAAAACTAGTTAATTTGTTGCATTTCTCATTAAAGTGTACACCTAGTAAATTTAGACATTTTAATTAAAGTATAAAACTAGTTAAGTTATTGCATTTCTCATTAAAGTGTACACCAAGTAAATTTAGACATTTTAATTAAAGTATAAAACTAGTTAATTTGTTGCATTTCTCATTAAAGTGTACACCTAGTAAATTTAGACATTTTAATTAAAGTATAAAACTAGTTAAGTTATTGCATTTCTCATTAAAGTGTACACCTAGTAAATTTAGACATATTAAAATATTTGATATACTTTTATATTTGTTAAGATGGAGCGCGGTAGACATTCTTTGGATATCGGAAATCTCCAACGCAACCGAAAGAAGGAGATTGCGAGAACTCATCCTAGTTTGCGCAAAAAAAGCGGGCAGTCCGGATCTTCTTCTCAAAGTGGATGGGAGGACGAACCGGAATACCAACGGCGAGATGGCGAAAGAATGTCCGACGAGCAACTACAACAACTATTGGCTCAAAATCCTCAATTTTTCCATCAACGAGACATCCCGGACGATATTCACACCATTGACGAAGAAGAGCTCGAGGATGACGATCTGGAGGAGGACGCGGGGGGCGCCGGGAGTCACGGCACCCCGGATGAGGAGCAAGCGGCGGATTACGAGGGTGGTTCATCTCAAATAGGTACGAAATCTAAATCTCCTATTATAGAAAATAATTTTAAAAAGTATAAAGACCCAAGCACCGAGAAATGGTACGCAAGTTGCAACCATTGCGATAAGGTGTACAGTTTGGGAACTTCGGGCAGATACGGGAGCCTCAAAAGGCATCTTATGGGCAAGCACAAGGTGGAGTACGCAAAAATTGAGAAAGGCAAGGGGAAGCAATCACAAATATCGAGGTTTGCAAATAACCAACCTTATGGTAATTTCTCATACAATGATCAACAAAATTTGACAGGTATGGCTAACTTTATAGTTGAAGAAAATTTACCTTATTTGTTTTCTGAAAGTGTTTCTTTTAAAGAGTATGCACAAACTTGTTTAAATCCTCAATTTCGAAGTTATAGTCGAAAAACGGTTAAAAAAGAAATTATAAGGCTTTATAAGGCGGAAAAGTTGAACTTACAAATTTTTTTTGCAAACTATGATGGACGTGTTACTGTTTGTTCTGACATATGGGAGGACACCTATCATAATTTACATTATTTGGGTTTGACTGCACATTATGTCGATGATGATTGGAATTTGCATAAACGTGTTCTTGCTTTTCGTGAATTTAATGATCGTCACACCGCCGAACATATTTATATTTTGATTGAGCGTATTTTAATTGAGTATAATTTGGTTGATATAGGTTTTGATACAGGTTTTGATAATGCTACTAATAATATTGCTGCTATACCTAGATTGCGTGAATTGTGTGGTTCTACTACTTTGATGGGTAGATTTTTTCATCAACGATGTGCATGCCATATAATAAATTTATGTGTGCAGGATGGTCTAAAAGCGTTGGGAGATGCTATGGAGGTAGCGAAGGGGGGGATTAGACGTATTTGGGCTAATGGTCAACTTAGATTAAAATGGAAAAATTATTTGAATGAAAGAAATGTGAAATATGTTGCTTTTCCTAAAGATTTGTCTATTCGGTGGAATAGTTCTTATAAATTAATTAGAGTTCTTATTAGATATAAAGAACATTTTCCTGCTTTTTTAAAAGAATATGATAACTACATTTTAAACTCCGCTCACATTGACACTTGCGAAAAAATTTGTAATGTTTTGATATATTTTTAATAATGCAACTGAAAGTTTTAGTCATGTTTATAAACCTACTTCAAACGAATTTATGCGTGAACTTGTTAATCTCGCCGGTGCTTTTAATGAATTTCAAAATGCCGATTATGTGAGCTATTTTTGTACTTTTATGAAGGAAAAGTTTTTAAAATATTATGCACATATTCCACATATTTATGGTATTGCATTTATTCTCGATCCTCGTTATCGACTTGGTAATTTGGAACAATGTTACAAGTTCTATTATGAATCTTTTTATGGTGATTTTCCAATGTATGAAGATAACCCTATAGATCCGCAATCTGAATACAACGAGGTTAGTAGTTTATTTTATTCTTTATTTAATGAGTTTCGTGCACAATATGGCAACGTGCCCCCTCCCCCAACCCAAACATCTTCATCTAAAGGAAAAGGTTTTTTTAAATCTGCATTTGGCAATCTTATGAAAAAAGCTAAAACAATGCACACTACTGAACAAAGCACAATTAATGAGATTGCTTTGTATACTAACTATGAGGTTGAGTTTGTAGAAAATGAAGAATTTGACGTCCTAAAGTGGTGGAAGTCAAAAGAAAGAAAGTTCCCGATTTTGGCACGGATGGCTAAGCAAGTACTATCAATGCCGGTTTCAACAGTTGCCGTGGAACAAGAATTTAGTTCGACCGGCAACGTCCTAACTAAATCGAGAACGTGTTTGAGTGCCGAATCTCTTGAGACGCTTATATGCTACCACGATTGGTTGAAGGCAAGACGTAGAACTCAAGAACTTAGCCTCATCCCCTCCCAAGACTTTATGGATGAATCAACCGATGGTGATTTTACCTATGCCGGGGATTCCGATTGATTAGTATTTTACAATTTATTATTTTATCCTCAATTCTCTATTGTAATTTGTGAACTTGTAGATTTGTAGTTCATATTTCAAATCAATAAAAGTTAAATTTTTTTATATGTCGCATTTCTCAAATTAATCAAGTTACAACTTACAACTTACAACAAATTAATTATATTATATTATTATTACTTAATACAAAATGTATTAGAATTAATTGTTCTCAATTCTCAAAATGTACTTATTACTTATTTCACATAAATGTACTTCAAGATTGTTTTTAAATAATTTTAATATCCAAGATTCCAAGTAGATGTATAAGACTATAAGTTAAAAAAAAAATTATTCAAGGCCCGACCCGACCCGACGGTTCACCCGGCCGGGTCACCCGGCCCGAACCGGCACCCGCATACAGGCGGGCCGGGCCCAGGCCTTACATTTCCGAACCGAGGCCCAGCCGGGCCTAGGCCCGAACCGGCCCGAGTCCAGGCCTACCCTCAACTCAAGATTCTTTAGGAGAGACGAGAAGAGTAAATGTTCATAACTGGTCTTATCATTTCGGTCTGAGTGGCAAACTTTAACCGTTGGTATATGAGGTTTTGGTGAAAGCTGAATGGATGCTGGAATTAGCCTGGACTGTTTGGTCACAGCATTGGAGTATTGTACGGAGTATTTAACTCAATAAAAATGCAAAAAGAGTCGATTAGCAGCTTGACGACAGTAGGGGCGGACATGGTATTGTTCAAAAGTGTTCAGGTGAACACCCTAAATTCTCAATTTTTATTACCAAAACAACGTCGTTTTGTCATCAAACCCCATCATTTCTCTCGAATTTAGAAGCTAGCAAACCCATTCGTGCAAACTGCTCCCTCCAGCCTAATTCCACAGCTTCAATTCACCGCATCCACACTCCATTCATGGAGTCCGGGTTAGCCCCTCATTCACGAATTACAATTTAATTTTTGTAAATCTAATCTCAGATTTGCACCAATTATTCATTCCCACCGCTTGTCTTGCCATTAAATGGTTAAATTAGAACTAATATTGAAATAATATTGGGATTTTGGAGATATGTTGTTAGGATGTAAAACCATGTTTGATATGACGTAATCCAATGGAATGGAATGAAGTGTGTAATGCAATACAAAAAGTAATGTAATTGAATGAAATCTTTATTCCATTATTATGTTTGGTTACTTAGGTAGTAACAATTTTGAAATGTAATCAGCATTACATAATTATATTTGGCTATTTTAATGTAAAATAAGTATGTGTAATCCAAAATACATTATATAAATCGATTTCCAACAACTATGTTTCTTCCTAAAAAAACAATTCTAGCAACAATGAATGAATCACTGGTTAGTGGTTAGAAAATTAAAGCAAATCAAATTAAAGAGGATAGAGTCCTCTTCGATCTAGCCGAATTGGAGACGACATGTAATCTTAAATACGAACGTTTTTTTAATGTAATGCTTATTCCACATGTAAAAGTAATGAGTACCACAAATACATTACGGTTCAAAATAAAATGACAAACCAAACATCGTAACCAGTGGTAGCGCCGGCCTTCAATTGGTAAAAGTAATGAGTACCACAAATACATTACGGTAATGCTCATTTGGTTATACAGTCTCTAACACCTTACAATCTCCCACCTTGACACTGTCTTCTTCAAATCCTCCCTTATTAGCATGGTAGCGCCGACCTTCAATTTCAAGTACCAAGGCCAATTGAAGCTATGCAAAGCTTCAATTTCTCCAAGGTTACCACCTTAGTAAACATGTCTGCTGGATTCTCACTCCCACGGATCTTAACAAGCTGCAATGCCTCTATATCTAGAAGATGACGGATGTAGTGATACTTTAACCGAATGTGTTTGGTTTTCTTGTGAAAAGTTGAGTTGTTTGCCAAGAAAATAACACTTTGACTGTCGTTGTAAAGAATGTTATTCTTGTACTCCTTCCCAAGTTCCCCAAATAGATTCTGAAGCCACACCATCTCCTTACTTGCCTCCGTAATGGCCACATATTCAGCTTCAGTGGTAGATAATGCAACAATCTTCTGCAGCTGCGAAAGCCATGAAACTGCCGTTCCACCAAATGTAAAAACATACCCCGTGGTGCTTCTTGATCCATCCGAGTCATTCGATGCCAGGTCTGCATCAACATGTCCCAGTAGCTCTACATTCTTCCCATCAAAACACAAAGCATTAGAAGCAATACCTTTCAAATATCTCACTACTCCCACCGCATGTGCAATGTCTGACCTCGTGCACACCATAGCGTACATGATGCTGCCAATTGCCGAGGCGTATAGGACATTCTGTATTTGAGCACACTCCTCCTTGTTCTTCGGCAAGTCTTCCTTGCTAAGCTTGAAGTGACTACCCAATGGTACACTTGCTGCCTTTGCATCTTGCATTTTGAATCTTTCCAGGACCTTCTGAATGCATTCCGCTTGTGAAAGATACAATCTGCCCGCTGCCTCATCCTTTTCGATTCGCATGCCCAAAATCTGCTTTGCCTCTCCAAGATCCTTCATGGAAAAATGTTCTGACAACTGTTTCTTTAGCTTCTCAATCTCCTTTGAACTAACTCCTGCAATCAACATATCATCAACATATAACAGCAAGATAAGATAACAGTTCTCGGTCTTCTTGTAGTAGCAGCAATTGTCGGTGTGGCATCTCAAGAAATTTATGTCCCTCATGAAACCATCAACCCGTATAAGCTCTTCACTAGCTTACATACGAGATTCTCACTGCCCTCTGCCACATAGCCCTCCGGTTGCACCATGTAAATCTCATCATTTAGATCACCATGAATGAATGCAGTCTTCACATCCATCTAATGTAACAACAAATTCTCTGCAGCAACTAACCCCAACACCAACCGAATAGTAGTTAGTTTCACAACCAAAGAGAATATGTCAGTATAATCAATACCATAGCGCTGCTCGAATCCCTTCACAACCAGCCTAGCTTTGTAGCGTTTGCTACCATCTGCCTCCTTCTTGATGCGGTAGACCCACTTGCAGTGCAAAGCCTTCTTTCCTCTTGGTAGCTCAACTAACCTCCAAGTATCATTGGATGTGAGAGATGCCATCTCATCATCCATTGCAAGTTTCCACTTGCCCTTGTCATCAACCTGAATTGACTCTGCATAGGACTCCAGTTCACCACCATCAGTAAGCAACAAATAGAAATTAGAAGGCGAATACCTATTTGGTGCACTCCAGTTTCTGGCAGGCCGCTGGCTTGGTGTGGTTGATGGATCTTCATCACTGCTCAACTCTTCATTCTGATCCTGATTGCTCCCACCCGAATTAGAGATATCTAACTCAATGATCTTCGGATTATCTGGCTTAGAATCCGAAACACTCAATCTTTTCTTGTGCATAACCTGCTCGTTGAACACCACATCTCGGCTATGAATAATCTTCCTATTCTGATCATCCCAGAATATGTATCCATAGTCACCACCACCATAGCCAACAGACGTACACTTGACAGATTTTCCGTCTAGATTGCTTCGGTCAACGGAACTGAGATGAATATAAGCAACACAACCAAATATGCGGGGATAGGACAGATTGACCTCCTTACCCGTCCACCTTTCTTCAGGTATGCCATTATCCAACGAGATCGTTGGACTTCTGTTGATGAGAAAAGCTGTGGTGTTCACTGCATCCACCCAAAACATCTTCGGTAAGCCACTCTTCAACCTCATGCATCTAGCCCGCTCATTCAGTGTTCTGTTCATGCGTTCAGCAACGCCATTATGCTGCGGAGTCCCTTTAGTTGTCTTCTTCATACGAACCCCATTCTCAGCACAAAACTTCTTGAACTCATGCAGTTCATACTCACCTCCATTGTCAGATCGAAGTCACTTCAATTTCAGACATGTCTCTGTCTCAACAAGAGCTTTCCACCTCTTGAAAGCATCAAAGGCATCAGATTTATTTTTGAGAAAATAAACCCACACCTTTCTTGTGGCGTCATCAATAAAGGTCATGTAGTAGGCGGATCCTCCTAAGGATGTAACTTCTGCAGGTCCCCAAAGGTAGGTGTGAACTAGTTCCAGCTTCTCCGGTTTAATAGCTTGTCTACCCTTCGAGAAACTGACACGTTTCTGTTTCCCGAATATGTAGTCCTCGCATAAGTCAACCTCAACAGTCTTCAGGCCGGGCAGTTTGCCCTTCGAGCACAACTCATTCATCCCCTTCTCGCTCATGTGACCGAGACGACAGTGCCACAAATTGACATCATTTGCTGCAGTGGCAGCAACATCAATACAATCCTTAGAGTTCGTTGTCATGTACAACGTATCCTCCTTCTTCCCTTTAGCAACCAGCAAGGCTCCCTTGATGATCTTCCAATTTCTACTATCGAATGTAACTGCATAGCCTTACTCATCCAGCAGATTTCTCCTCAAACCAGGAATGTGTCGGACTCCATTCAGTTTCAGCATGCATCCGTTCGGAGTCTTCACGTGGACTGTACCCTTTCCGACAATTTTAAGAGGCTCATCATCAACAAGATACACCTCTCCGAAATTGTAGGGAGTATACTGTTCCATCACTTCAGCATTACCACATGAATGGAACGAAGCTCCAAAATCCAGAACCCATGACTCCAACGGACTCAGGATCAGGAGATCATCGCCAGATGATTCTGCCGCTGCATTGGCGGATGTCTTCTCCTTCTGATCTTTGATCTGCTCCTTGCACTGGCTCTTGAAGTGTCCATACTCCTCACAGTTCCAGCACTTGATCTGACTTCTGTCCTTCTTGCCCTTGCTATTTGACTTGGATTTCGATCTTGATCTATCTCGATTTGATTTGGACTTCAACTTCGTTCTGCCCCGGTTCTCTGTACTCAACGCCGATCCTGAAGTCAAGCCTGATTCCTTCCTGCGAATTTCTTCGCTCACCACCAAATTTCTGACTTCATCGAATTTCAGTTTCTCTTTCCCTGCTGAAGCGCTGACTACAGTCATCGTTCCATTCCAGCTTTCTGGTAGAGAAGACAGCTGAATTAGGGCATGAATCTCGTCGTCGAGTTTGATCTCAACCAGGCTCAATTGTGTGGTGATTAAATTGAACTCGTTGAGATGCTCCACAACTCCCGTACTTTCTGACATCTTTAGGTTAAAAAGACGCCTCATCAGGTGAACCTTGTTCGCAGCGGACGGTTTCTCGTACATATCCGATAACATCTGCAACATCTCCTTCGTCGTTTTTGCTTTGACAGTGTGTAGGGCGATATTTCTGGATAGCGACAATCGAACCACGCTCATCGCCTTCTGGTCCAACAACTTCCAATCGGTCTCCTTCATGTCTTTCGACTTGTCATTCAGAGGTTGATACAAATCTTTACCGTACAGGTAATTTTCGATCTGCAACTTCTAGAAACCGAAATCAGTCCCATCAAACTGCATCAACGGTGTCTTCAAATTGTCTGCCATCGTGAGATCTCCTTTCGAACCTAGGGCTCTGAAACCAATTGTGAGGAATTAAACTCACTCACGCGATGAATAATAGGAAGAACACACGAAAATTTGGTAACCCAGTTCGCCACGAATGACTACGTCTGGGGGCGCTACCAAGCCAAGAATATTATTGCTATTTTCGGATCCACATATGATTACAAGGGAGAGAGCGTGTATTTATAGAGAAGTAAAACCTAACCCCAAGGCAACTAGGATGTGTTTCCAAAAATAAATTAAGAAACGTGTTTCCAAAAATAAATTAAGAAAGACTTGGTTATACAGTCTCTAACACCTTCTGTTCTAAAAATCGTTATAGGCGTCCGACTAGTCCCCAACTAAGCGCTAGGCGGTGGCCGGGCGCCCCGATTTTCGTATAGGCGCTCCGACTAATTGGTTTGCCGTCTAGGTGAATTAGTCGGCCGCCTATGGCGCCTAGTTGTCCGCCTAGAGTGCCTAATCGGTCACCTAGGCCGTCTAGATCCATTGAACGTTACTTTACATTTTAATTTTAATTTTCTAAGCGATATATGTACTTTAGCTTTAGCCGTGAATATAAACAAATGAAGTTGTAAATTAAGATAAAACTATATATGTTTGTATATATACCTAAATCTTATCATTATTTATATTTATAACAAAATGAACTTAAGTGATTAGTTATCATATACTACGTATGATTAAATGTGATAATTCTATCATTCATGTTTGTTAATGTATATGTATATATGTATTTTATACACACAAAAATATAATATTACTTATCATATTTATGCAAAAATATAGATAAAAATGCAATTTCTATGTCTTCGACTAGAAAATGCAATTTCTATGTCTCCGACTAGTCTCCGCTTAGGCGTTAGGCGCTGGGCTGGCGCCCGACTAGCGGCTATCGCCTTTTAGAACATTTCTAACACTTTACATACACTGCACACAAATTTTAAAATTCTTGTTTTATACGTCCAAATCCATTCAAATCTCATACACACCGTCGGTGAGAGTATTTTTTATTTACAAATATACTCTTCAATGACAAATCACATTTTGTCTGTAAATATCATATGGGAGAAAGACCTAAATAGGAGTAAAATAAAGCTTGAGAATCAAAATAGGACTCTCCACTTTTTAACTCGCATATACGACAAGTTTTTACGTGAAGGACAAAAATATCCTCCATCTCCCACTTGACTGCCGTGCTCTCTGGAAAACAACAGACGATCGAGCTACATTTGCACTGGTCGAAATTCATAGACGGACCTTAAGTGACCATGGGGGTGTTTGGTTAGGAGCCTATCAGCCATTTTTTGGCTGATTTGACTCATATTTGGCTTTTTGACCAGATTAAACAGCCAACATGGTGTTTGGTTAAATGGTTTTTTGAATTGGCCTTTTGGGTCCAACAGCCGAAATCTTAAACGCCAAAAACCTTAGCGTTTACTAATGGCTTTTTCGCATCTTTACCATACTACCCAAGCATCTTCCGATCAAGGGAGAAAAAATCTTACCCCAACCCACACCAGCTTCTGCCGCAGAGCAAAAGAATTATATTGGGAGCTATCTCTGTTCTATGATTTGCAAATATATATACCTCCTCCTATATATCTTCAATATATACATATATACCTCGCGTGGTGGCTACGGGAGGATCTATCCAAGAAGAACCGAGCTCTTATCCTTGGGAGACTGATGTTAACTTCTCGCGTCTGGCCGAATGACACCTCATACGATTCTCCTATTCCTCTTCCGTCAAAATGGAAGAAAAAATTCGGTTTTACATTAAGGCTAGGGGTCCATGTCTAATTAGAAGCATTTTGATATTTCAAGTCCCATTTTGGTGGGTATTTTTGTATTCTTTTATTAATAATCTGAAATGGAAGAAATTGAGCGTTTGTACTTATGGACAGTTTTCAATTTCTATTCGGTTGAGTGGATTCTTAAATAACGAAATAGAGATTTGACTAGCCTAATTAATCAAAATATTGTTATTTTTGATTAAATTTATTAATCCGTGATAGAAGATTTAAAATAAATATTACTCGTGTTCATATATTTTTAGTGTTGAAATAGTAAAAACATTTTAATTAGTTGAACTAATTATATTAATAAAAATTAATTGATGTCCTTAATGGTCATTTAAGGAATTATCAGCTGATTGTCAACAGTCATTTAACCAAACACATTTTGACAAACTGCCAATCCTATCAGCTAATTGAAACAGCCAACAGAAACTGCTACCGTCAATCAGCCAACATAATCAGCCAACGGCTAACAGCCAACCGCCAATTGCCAAACACCGCCCATCTCGTTCAATTTCAGTGACCACCACCGTTCTCAGCGGATTTCCCCCAGGCTTTCCTCCACGTGCCAGATACTCTGCCCACTTGACCATCCTCGATCTCCAGGAGCCATAGTTCTGGCGCTGTAAAATCACTACCATCGCTTGCCGAAGGAATTGGGGCAAGCCGGTGCCTGATCCCTTCTTCTTCAGTATCTCCAAATCCATCACACCTCTCCACCACTACTAGAGTAATCGATGTTGCGTCGCACGTTGCCGCCGCACGTTGCCATTGTCGCCGCCAGGCCACACCTCGCCGTCGTAATGGCTTCCCTTAGCAAGAAGTCAAGAAAAGTGTTGTGTGTCGACATGGAGGAATAGCCTCTCACCACTGAGCGCTCCAGAACCGATGCGTAAACCTCAGCTCCCATCTCTTCAATGCGCTGCTGGCCGCTGGGTGAGGGAGATGCCTTGGCTCTGTTTTTTATTATTTCAGGAATAGGAGTTCTGGAATCTATTGTTCTCCTATTACTATTACGTACTCACAGTATTATTATTTACATTAATTAATAGTGTCCGGTCAAATGTGTAGTTTATTTAAACAATCAACCTTGATGAAAATGACATTAAATTAAATTACATTGTTAACACTATGTCAATATTTTAAAAAATGTAACTTTTTACAATAAATTTTCATTATAAACATTTTCAAAAATAAACAATGTCACTGTATTGTAAATATTGCAAAAATGTAAGGAAAATTATCACAATGTCAAATATTTTCATAAGAAACATTGCCACAATAAATGATGTCAAGATACTTCAAACATTGTTGAAATGTAGAAGAAATTAAAAAATGGTAAAATAAGATTAAAATAATAAAACAAAGAGTCACACTATTGCAAAAGAGGGAATGGTTCCAAATAAAATTTCTCTACGTTAAGTGACATTCAATATGTGACAATGTAAAAATAATATAATGTCACATTTTTACACTACATTGTCATTATAAAAATAAAAATTGTCGTCATTGTTAAACATTATTGACAATGTAAATATCGATCATTTTCAATGCTATAAATAATGACAATGTCAATACCGATGTCATACACTATCATAACAATACAATTGCCAAATTTTTTAAAAAAATATGATGTTAAATTTTTCACAATGTCAAATAATCTCTATGTCAATGTCAATGTTATAAATAAGGACATTGTAATAATGACAATGTCAATGACAATGTCAATAACAATGTCAATGCCAATGTGAGTGAGTCACAATGTCAATATCAATGCTATAAATAATGACATTGTAATTAACAATGACAATGTCAATGCTAGGTCAACGAGTGTCATGACAGTGTCAATGCCGATGACAATGTAACAAACATGTTAATGACAATGGCATACAATAAATTTATTGTAAACCATATATGCCAATGCAACATTATTATCGTAAACATAGTCATAAAAAGAATAGATGCTACAATGTAAAAAAATGACACAATTTCAAAATAAAATATCACAATGTCAAGTAAATGTCACAATATTTAACATTACCATGACAAACATTCTCAAAAAATCTATAATGTCACAATGTCAAAATACATTATATTTTCAAAAAATACACCAATATGGAAAATTAGTATACATTTTGAGTGCATCACTTACGTTATCAAAGTGCAAACAATGTAGCCGTTTAAAATCATGGCATGAATGTATTGCATCACATGCTTTGGAAAACAAAGGCAAAGAAATCGATAAAAAATTTCATTGTCTGAATTTTATTTTGAACAGTGACAAGAAGTCAAAAGAACAACAAAAAGAAACAAACACGGAAAGAAGGAAAAAAGAAGAAAAAAGAAACTGAGAATAGATCTAGCTTCAAGTTGCGGAAAGGAAAAAAGGGTCAGATCTATTCCAGCTACAACAACAGAAGTTTCAAACGACGATTTGGAACTTCCAATAGCATGTGAGATCGTCAGATCAAGCAGGTTAACGACTTCAGAGTCATCAGCTACCCCTCTCCCATATCAAGAAGATCATGAAGGCGGACGAGGAAGTCCGGATGATCTTCGCGACTCCGCCTAGGCACCCATCCTCTTAGCCAAGGCCCGCGAGCTCTCCATCCTCGAGCTCACCGGTTCTTCCGCGAGCCGCTGTTCTGCAGTGGTTGCACGCACCGTGGCAATCTCTGCTTCAGGCCTTTGATGAGAGACAGAAGAGGTCAAGTATGCTATCGATAAATAAAATTAGGGCAAATAGGTCAAGACAACTAAAATTAGTCCTATATGCGGATAAAAAAGCAACCGGTCCTATTTGAGTACACGGACCATTTCTCATATCATATTCACATACAAAAAGTAAGCTCGCAAATACTGTGTATGAGACATTGAGACATGTATGGCTTTGGGCATGCACTAATAGCTTTAAAAAAAAGAACCATATGAGATTTTATGCGTAAGCCCTAAAAGTGAGATTTATCATAAAGTTTGCATGGATGAGTCCACATTTTATTTTGCAGTCCTACTTCTCGGACTTTGGCTGCGAACTGAAACACTTAGAAAATAGGGAAAATGGAAATTAATAATCCAACATTTTAGTGGTTTTCTTACAACAGTCCCACCTTATCATTATTCATTAATAATCCAACATTTGCACCCAATCTTCATTCGTTGGTCCCTGACCGGTTGATGACCTGCTATTCCAGGTTTTTTTCATTTTCTTTGCAAATCATTCAACCATATTTTCCACCTTTCACAAATCTTCAGCGGTCCCACATATCATTTTTCTTTTTTCTTCCTAAAACTTTTCCCTTTTATTTTTATCGTCTTGACTCTTTTATTCCCCTTTTTGGTCTTCTTATTCTTTTTCTATTACCTACTTTTCAAGTTTTTCTTTTCAATGTTTATGTATTCCATTTTTTCTTCTTTTCCTTCTTCCCGTTTATTACTTCATTTTCATTTTTATACTCCCCCCGTTTCGCAATAAAAGTCACAGTTTGACTTCACAGTTATTAAGGAAGTCATTTTCTAAATTTTTTCACCGTACTAACTTTTTTACTTTATTTTCTTTTTACATACACTTATTTATTTCATTTATCCCTTTCTTACCTTTATTTTACCACTAATATATTTTTAAGAATATAACCCCAAAATAGGATTAAACTAATCCCTAAATGTAAATATAGGACTGTGTTATTTATCTTCCCAAAATAGGACAAAAGTACCGTCTATCTTCCTATTCTACATTTCTACTCTACCATAACTTAATGGGATAATCATATTTTACATTATAATAAAAAGGGAAAATAAAAAAAAGGTATTTCGATTTATAAAAATATAGTAACAAAATAAAAAGAAAGTTAAAAAAAGTTTTAAAAATAATTAATACTCCCTCCGGTTTTTAATAAACTTCACACTTTCCTTTTTGAGACGGTCTAAAATAAACTTCACACTTCCTTATTTCCTTTTTTGGCAAAGAAATCTACATCAAAACAGTACCAAACAGTGTCTCAACAGTGCCAAACAGTGTCTCTACAGTGCCAAACAGTGTCAAACAGTGCCTCAACAGTGTACTCTACAGTAAAGTCAAATTTCTTTCCTTATTTTGTGTGAAGTCAAACTGTGAAGATTAAAAAAAACCGGAGGTAGTAATAAATAGTGATAAAAATTAATTTAAAGAAAACTTTAAAAATAAATAAAACCAGATAAAACACATTAAAATTTGTTTTAACTTGGTGTTCTTACAATAGTCTCGATTTATAGTTATTATTTATTAATAATTCAGATATTGGGGACTAGGGGTGGTTCGGTACGGTATACCGAAGATTTTATCTCATACCTTTACCATACCGTAAACTTTCGGTATGCAAAAATACATACCGTTACCATACCTAAATTTCGGTATACCTTATTTCGGTATATCAAAATTTCGGTACGGTAAGCTACGGTATCGGTAAATTATCATGATTTAATATCAAATTATTATATATCAAATGAAATAGAGAAAATCAGTGTTAATAGTGATATACTAAAATTATTAATGAAATTAACTATAAAATACCAATGATAACCTATTTGTGTTCTATTCAACTTTGAACCAAAAAATATTATAAATATGTACGGATACTTCAACACATGATATATGAAGATAACAACACATTCTGCTAAAATAATAATTTAAACAACATAAATATATTTGAAATAACATCGGTCTCCAACAAAAAGTATAAATAATTCAAGAAACATGGATATAAAGTCATTATCCTTGAATTAATGTTGTGTTTCTAGTTATTTTTATAATTTTAAAGAAATTATTTGCTTGGAATTACGGTATGACGGTATAACGGTATACCGTTTATTTCCAAAATATATACCGATATCATACCGAAGTAATTCGGTACAGTATCATACCGTACCAAAAGTGTCGGTATACCAAACACTTCGATAAATTCGATATTTTTCGATATGGTAAGTCCGGAATACCGAAATTTCGGTATTTTTCCCCACCCCTAATTGGGGTGTAATATGGTACTAGACTACTAGGTCTAATATCGAAGTAATTATTGGGGTGTAAAAACAGATATTCCGTATACCAGCCTTTATTTTCCATTTTCGAAGTCCGGTCTGCAAACTTATTGGTCTAACAAGCCAAGAACTTCAGTGGAGATTCAAGATCATCACATTCAAGTCAACGATGGGGTGTGATTCTCGCTTCGAGATCCATCAAAACGCCTACATCAAGCTCGTCCTACATGCAATCAAGCACAAAACTTCCGCCGTTAATGGCGTTCTCCTTGGCTCCACCTCAGCTTCTGCTGACGTTGTCGAAGTTGTGGATGCAGTCCCCCTGTTCCACTCCCAACTCTCCATCCTTCCTCCCCTCGAAATCGCCCTCTTCATGGTCAGTCTAGTTGTTACACCCTGGTTAATCATCGATTGCCATTTACTTTTCTTTTTGGGTAATTCGTGTTTAGGGTTTAGGGGTCATCTTTGATTCGATCTTACTATTATTTTTCAGATAGAGGACTACTGTAGTAATAATGATTTGAGCATTGTTGGTTACTTTCACGCCAATGAGCGTTTTGATGATGCCGAACTTGGAACTGTCCCAAAGAATATTGCTGATCATATCCACCAATATTTTCCTCAGGCTGCTTTGCTTCTGGTACTCCACATTTCTGGTATTTCAGAATTTTGTTTGTTTACCTCATTGATGTTGAGCATTTTGGTTGTTGTAATTTTGTCAGTTAGATGCCAAGAAGCTCGAAGCTTTACTCAAGGGTAAAGATAGGAGTCCTGTGATGCAGGTTAGTCACTGTAATCTTTGTTATAGTTATGGGTATCAGTTAAAAGCATAGAATGCACCATTGGTTCAGAAATTCAAGAAATAACGGTTCTTTTCCCCAAAGTCATTGTTGAAAGTTTCCATGTGCTTTATTTTCATCTTTGTGGATGTGTCATAGTGCCTTCTTTTAGCCCATTTTTGGTACATTGGGTAAGATGTGAAAAAGGCGGGGGTTCATGCTCAAGGACACAGTGTACCACTTAGCTGAACTAAAAAACTACTTTGTCAGTTTGTTGTAGCATCTAATTCATCAATCATAAGGCCATGGCTAAACAGCAAATTTAAATTGGTAGTTTCAGCTTTACCACCTGAACAAAGCACTCTGTGATCTTATTCTCTCTAGTGGTTCCACCTCTTGCTTATTCATCTTTTAGAGGTGGCCAAATAAATCACTTCACAGTCGCACCAATTCATCTTCTTGGTTTCATATAGAGGTAATCATCCAGTGTTTAAAAAGGCGCTTGGCTCGTTGATGACTTCGGTCGGTGTCCAACCTACCTTGACCGATGCAAGCTAGTACCTTTACATATAGGTGAGGTGTAAGCATCAAATTTATATATAACTCCCTTTACAAATTGGAATTGCTTACAATCTAAAACGAATTATCAATCATACATAGAAAGAAAGTCATAATCGAATGTCATAAACCACTATCATATGCTTAACTCTTTAAGAGATTTCATGTTTTTTATACTAAATTGAATAAAAATATTTTGAGTGAGAAAAAGGAGAAAAGTTGCCTTGAGATAGTTAAATTCTGGAGCATTTTGGATAAAAAAAGAAGTAATTTGAATTATAATATTGTTTAGAGATATTACCCGAAATAGGACTAAAAAGATTTGAAAATTCCAAAATAGGACTGCTATGTTTTTATTCCCAAAATAGGACTAATTACTGTCATGTTTTGGCAGTACCAGACTTCAAACATGGCAGTGTTTTCCAAACTTGACAGTAATTACTCCTATTTTGGGAATAAAAAACATGACAGTCCTATTTTAGAATTTTCAAACTCTTGTAGTCCTATTTCGGGAATTTTCCCTATTTTATCGTAAATAGAATCAGAAAATGATGTTTAATTGCGGAAAATGGAAAAGAAGGATGGGTATAGTGATATTCTATTGTTATTCAAAAGGAACAAAGAAGCTGGGCTTGTTTGATCCTCACTAGAACTTAGAGAAGAGAACAGTGGTAGTAGCTCTGCTACTCTGCAAGAAAAGTTAGCACTTATGCACGCGCAGAGTAGTTCTTAACTTTTTTGAAATTAGTGAACTTTATATATAGACCTTTGTGAAGGGTAATTGTCGATTTCAGTAAATAGATTTTAGGTCTTTTGATGGGATTGGTGACTGGTTAATAAAAATAATAGAAATAATAAGACTAGACAATAACTGAAGTAAAAATTATGAAACTTAAGCCTCATGGCATGCCTCGACCATCTAAAGCTTCCCACTTAGTTCATGCACACAAAGCCCTTTCTTGCTACTTCAGACTGAGGCGAGCCTCAAGGCGTGCTTTAAAAGCACTTCTTTAATTATTGAACCATGACAGAATCACCATTTTCCTATTCATTCTTTGACCCCACTTGTCAAATGCAATAGTTTCATGCAGTTAATGTATTTTCCCCATCATTGAGCTTCCAATACTCTTCATATACATATCATTATACCTTCTTTGATTTTCGTTTGCACTGGGACTGATCCATAGTGTCGAAAATACATGCGACTGTTATGGACTTTTTTTCATTATAATAATTGACAATGTGTGCATTATTACAGTCGTATTTGTTTTTATATGATTAATAATTGGCACTATAAATTTCATGCCACTGGTCCCAACTAGTTGGGACTGCTCTGATAATAATGATAGTGTTGCTTATTTCATTTTAATGGGCTTTCTTGAAGTTTTCTCTCTGACTGTTAATAGAATAACTGGATGGTTCATGATTACTTTGAGCTTGTGTATGACCTCTTTAGATGGATTAGGCTTGATTTTCCTTTAGTTCACATCTACTAACTGATGTGTGTTACGGTGCATGACACATTGCATTATTTTAATTGAGCTGTGATGAACTTTGACCATTCATTTGTTTCTTGTTTCTTCTTTTGTCCTTCCCTTTGCATTTGCTTGTAAGAGTAAGGACTTCCTAGTGTATAATACTGCGACCCCCCCCTTGCCCCACCATAGGTGGGACTGTGGGAGCCTTTGCGGCACTGGGGTAATGATGATGATGGCATACATAATCTGTTATATATATCTGATGAATATTATATGTTCATTGGGTTATATTGGTTTATGTCCTGGTTGATGACTTGATGTTATCGGTTACATTGTTTTATAAGGTAGCTCTTGTTTGTGTATTAACACAATCTAGTGATTTGTGTTGCCAACTTGCTATACTCTATGTTGGTATGATGCCCTCATATTATTTTGTTGGTGTCAGCTTTATACAAAAGACGCCTCCAGGACCTGGAAACTTGTAGGATCTGATGGAAAAAGTCAATTTACTTTCAAGGAGCCTGCAGCAAACACAGTTCTTTTGGATTATATTTCATCAGAGAAATGGAAAGGAATAATAGATTTTGATGACCACCTCGATGACATTAGCAAGTAAAGTATTATCCTTTTTTATGTGCCTGGTTTAACCTTTACAAAGTAATCTGATATTATTTGCAATAATGAATGTTTCTTGGCAGGGACTGGCTCAACAAGGATCTCTTTAAATGATATATATCTTCTTGGAAAGAGCATTGTATTTACATGAGGCTGGTTTATTTGCAATCTGTGCCCTTATTAAGAAATGATCTGGTATGCTCGGCCAACTATAAATTTGGAACTGGACGTGGGCTTTGTTTAGAATGGTGGCTGTTTTCTTAAATTGTGCCAATTGTTTTTTATCTTGAAACAAATAGCAACATCTGCTTGTTTTGGTAAGTTTTCACATTAGATGAAGAAAAACAATTGAATCTAGAGTTGAGGAATGACATTTGCATTTATCCACCAACATTACTGCTCCGTACTACACAGCATTAGGAATCTCAAGTCTTAACTCTCAAACATAAAGTTTACATGTCAATCTCTCCAAGTGGTTACTGCCCTAAGCCCCTAATGGTATATAATGTTTATACTCACACACCATTTTCAATTTGAGTTTTAATGGAATTCAGAATTCAGAATTCAGTGGCATTCTAGTTGCCCAATCTGTATTCTTATGAAATCTGTTAAGGGATGGTTTCCTCAACTTTTCAAAATCGAACATCCCCAAACATTCAATGTATTGTATAAAGTTCTTATGAATGGGGTTTGCTAAGTGAAAGTTGCATGTATGTACTGATTATGTACTATTGTACTGTCTAATGTGGACAACACTATAAGATTCCACCTTCCAAGGGAATCTTAAGGCCAGGTCGTGGCTTTTATACTTTCGGGAGTCTGGGACAATGAAAAAATAAGGCTATTAAAAATATTGTAAAAATATTTAATAAATTTAATTTGATGTATTATCCATCTACTTCTGAAATTTGTAAGATGTACTTTTTCTATATAAATTTTAATACTAGGCATAACTGGACATTGTATTACTGTCCTAACTTGTTCTTGATGCTTCAAAACAAGGGTACAATCAGGAATTATAGAAAATTGTTAGCTGTGTTTAACAGTTGTTATACTATAGCACATTGCCACATACTCGGGCCGGGCTTGGGCCCGGGCCGGGCTTAGGCCCGGTCGGGCCGCCGGTTACGAATAGCTGGGCCCGGGACCAGCCCGTCCTTTGGCCAGTGCCGGTTCGGGCCAGGTCACCCGTCCGGGTCACGGTCTGGGCTACCCGCCAGGCCGGGTCGAGTCACTATAATTTTTTCCCCTTTTTTGCTACTTATTTATACAAGTGATGAATAGGGTTATTTTTAAATACCTCCCTTGAGGTTCGAGTATTTGACACTTTAAGAAGAAGAATCAATATATTATCGATTAGCCCCTTCTCCCTAATACTTAAATACAGTACATGAGTAGGTTGGAAGCCATTTATACGTATTCATCATTTAATCATTTCACTTTTTGATAAATTAAATTTTGTAACATCTTATGTTTTAATATTTATTATTTTTTATTTTTCTCTTCTGCTTCGTCAATTATACATTTTCTTTTTGTGCCTAATAAAAGTATATGTATACTTGTAGTAGAAATAATTACATGTTACATATATGTGATTGAAATTAGTACTCCGTCCCATAATATAGTTCCCGAATTGATTTTGATCGACATTTAAGAAAGTGATAATAAAGTGAAAATGTATGATTGTGATTGAGTGAGTACAAAAAAATGTAAATGAATGATAGCCAAAAAAACGTTCCAAAAAGGAAAATGGGAACTTTGTTTTGGGACGGCCCAAAACAGAAACCGGGAACTATTTTACGGTACGGAGGGAGTATTGTTTACAAAAAATGACTATGGTTAAAAATAATTCCCAAAATACTGCTGGGTTAACTGTGGTTAAGGAAAGCCGCCACTTGAAATGGCGGCTTTTCTCTACACAGTACAAGAGCCGCCACTTGAAGTGGCGGCTTTTCTTAAAGCATAAAGCAACACACTTACGTAACATATATGCTCAAGTCTAACAACAAATGCAGTGGGACCCATCCAAAATTAAAAATCCCCTGTTTTCTTTGAACTGCTGTAACTTTTTTATTTGTACTTTGATTATTACAAAAAATATATCAATATTCATAATTTTTTATTATCTTTCATATGACACCAATATTGAATATATAAAATAAAAAAATAATTTAACACTAAAAATTACTATCTCCGGTCCTAAATAAACTTCTCGTACACTTTACGATGCTTGACTGACGATAAAACAACCCGATCCATGTTCACACCCGGTTTATTTTAGTAAATAAAATTTACATTTTCAGAAACTACATTAAAACCGCTATTTTTAGCTTTTTATCAATTTTAAAATAGACTGGTTAAATCACTCTTAATCTTTATCAATTTTCAAAAACCAGTCTATTTTCAAAAACTAAAAGATTAAGAGTGATTTAACCAGTCTATTTTAAAATTGATAAACAGCTAAAAATAGCGGTTTTAATGTAGTTTCTGAAAATGTAAATTTTTAGTTTTTATATTTTTAGTGTTAAATTATTTTTTTATTTTATATATTCAATATTGGTGTCATATGAAAGATAATAAAAAATTATGAATATTGATATATTTTTTGTAACAATGAGAGTACAAATAAAAAAGTTACAGCAGTTCAAAGAAAACAGGGGATTTTTAATTTTGGATGGGTCCCACTGCATTTGTTGTTAGACTTGAGCATGTATGTTATGTAAGTGTGTTGCTTTATGCTTGAAGAAAAGCCGCCACTTCAAGTGGCGGCTCTTGTACTGTGTAGAGAAAAGCCGCCATTTCAAGTGGCGGCTTTCCTTAACCACAGTTAACCCAGCAATATTTTGGGAATTATTTTTAACCCAGCAGTATTTTGGGAATTATTTATTTATGCAGCATTATTCCGGGAAAAAACTCCTTCTTAAGTGTATAGTGACTATAATAGTAACATAGTTCTAGTCATATATGTTTGATTTTTAAACTTAAGTGACTATGAGATGAAATTATAGTAATTATTAGTTACGTAGTATTTTTTGTAAATAAATTTTATCTCGGTAATATTTCTCAAAAGAACTTAGCTCATTGATGGTATAGTTTTGAAAAATACGAATATATGTATATGTATATACTACCTGCGTCCCTAAATGTTCTTCCAAAATAAAGTGGCACACTGATTAAGAAAGTAGGAATTGTGTGGTGGAGAGTTGTGCAGAGGAGAGAGAAATGCTGTGAACCACAAATTCTTTACCAAAAAGGGAAAGTGAAGTTCTTTTTGGGACGGACGAAAAGGGAAAGTTGGAAGTTCTTTTAGGGACGGAGGAAGTATTAAGTAGGGTAGGTCAGTGCAAAGTGGACCCACCCCAAGTGTCTCAGGCTAGTGCAGGTCTTCACGGGCCGGAAATTTTACAGGTCTAGACGTATTTATGTGGTGTATTAGGCTGCGGCCCATTTCAAATTTTAAAATTGCATCCATTCACCGTTAAAAAAATTACGTAAAATTATTTCAAAGTTTTGTTTATGCCACCCTACCTCGGTATATCATCGTGCCTACGTCAATGATAGCAGTATCTCTCCCGGGATTGCATACTGGGCCATCTACATGCATGCACCAAGCCATCTTAAAATTTAAATATGGACTTTGTCGATATGAAAAAATAATGTATAGACTCTGTCAACACCATTTTCCCTACATTCGAATACTGTCAATAAAGTACACTCAACATGTTTCTTATATATTAGTCTAGTAAACCAATAGTTAAAGGGAAAATGGAAACTAATAATCCAACCTTTTAGCGGTCTTCTTTTAATAGTCCGACCTTTGCGTTATTCATGAATAATCCAACTTTTGCACCTCATCTTCATTCATTGGTCCCCGACCGGTTGATGACCTGCTATTCCGAGTTATTTTCTTATCTTTGCAAACTATTATACCATAAATTCCACCTTTCACAAAGATAATATTTTGCAAAGATAAGAAAATAACTTGGAATAGCAGGTCATCAACCGGTCAGGGACCAGTGAATGAAGATGAGGTGCAAAGGTTGGATTATTCATGAATAACGAAAAGGTGGGACTATTAATAGAAGACCGCTAAAAGGTTGGATTATTAGTTTCCATTTTCCCATAGTTAAATTATTCTAAGTTATTTTGTTCTTTTATTTTTCTGAACTATTATGTAATTAGAAAATACAAATTTCGATGTTAAAAATAAAAAAAATATCATTAACTTTTGTTTTATTTTTTGGTTAATAAAAAAAATAAGTTCAGGTAAATTTCTACTATTTATGGAAGAGCCATGGATTAAAATTTTGAATTTCATATTTTCTGAGTCTACAAAACTCTAATAGTTGAAACTTCAAATGTTTTAGTAACTTTTGATATACAATATTGATGTGATATGAAATATTATAAAAACTATGTAGTACTTCCTATAAGTTTTAATACTCCTTGGTATGAAAATGAAATGGATTTGCTACATAATTTATGTAGTTATGCTACAGTACTATTATTAGAAGACACTGATGTGTCTATTTTTCCTTGTCTTAGTTTTTGAAAAAATTGGTAGTCTTGGTTAAGTAGGGGTGACCCCTTCTGCCATGCATGTATGTTATAGTAGAGGGGGCTGATCTATAATATATTGATACTTTGACTCAAAGTGTCAAATGCCTAAACCTCAAGGGAGGTATATGAAAATAACCCGTGATGAATATTAAAAACAAACTTCAAGTGTATTTATTTGAAATAGGAACTACATTTGAGAATTGAGAAAAAATACAATATGAAATACGTAGTATATTTTCTAATAAATAATAATATAATTAATAATCAATCGGAATTTTCCTTGCCTTTGTCTTTGTCACAGGATTTAATATGTTTCTTGGTCATCCCGTAACCATGTGAAAGTCTCAAGCTAAACACTTTCCCGCACCAGTAGCAAGTTGCGTACGACATTCCGGTCGTCGGGTTCTTCCACCTAAAAAAATTATTTTTGATAACAGCATTTTGACTTTCCATCTTAAAAATGGTAGATATAATATTAATTGTATAAATACTAGAAGTCTAGAATAAATGGAGATGGAGATTGGAGAAGAGGTGTAGAAAAATGTTAGAAAATATGTGTATTTATAGAAATTTTTTACCCCCCGGACCCCATATGTTAGAGGCCTACCTCCCAACGGCTATATAGCCGTTTGGGAGATGGTAGGTGTTTGTTTAAAGTTTTCTTTTTTTGAAAATTACATATTGTAAAATTAATTAATTACTTTAATTAATTAAGTAAAGCTATTTTTACTTAGAAAATAGGTGTATTTATACTAATACATATTGTAAAGCTATTTTTAATTTAAAAACACCCTTTAGAAATTTAATTGTAAGTTGTAACCAATTAATTAAATTGAGAAGTACTACATATAAAAAATAAATGTATATTTATTTGAAACATGAACTTCAAGTTTACAAATTACA